TGTTTAGAATCTGAGGTGTAATGTTCTGTTAGTCTTAATGTATGTAGACTTCTGGAGACATAGGATCTGTTTATACATGATAATTACTGCTAAATAAGAATGGAAATTTCCAGTTATGTTGGATTCATGCGTGTGATTTAGTGAGATCTGGTTTGATTACGATTCAGTTTATAGCGGTGTTCCACCGATTTCCCACATTAGGACGCGTCACCTGCCTCGATCGATCCTGCGCAGGATCGATTTTGATTCGGTTCATAAAGTTTTCAAACAAATTTAAACGCAATACGCGGGATTTTAGTGCGGTGGACGATCGATCTTCCTCGATTTTGCACGATCGATCGAGGGAGGTGACGCGTCCTTAGGCTCGTTGCTCTTCAACGTTTTTGGATCAGAGACTGCTCTATGCACGTTTTCCCGCCATGCAAACGCTGTCGTCAGCCACTGTCGCCATCGTCGCCACCATCACTCACGACGCGAATCGGTCGTTCAGTGACCCCTTGAAGAACCGATCAGGGTAGCGCCAGGCATGGGTCTGCGGCACACTGTTCCCCCGATTCGCGCTCGAAATATCCTCCTAGGGTGCTCCTCAAGTCAGTCGCCCCTCGTGATTGTTTTCCCCCCTCCCCGTTACCACCTGAATTTTCCGCCTGCGCTTTGTCTCCTGCACTGTGTTCTCCAATGGGTGCACTTTTCACATCCCCGCCTGCCGGGTTTGCGCTTCCTCCCACTTCCGCGAACCCCTCCGCGCCAGCCTCCCCGCCACTTACCCGGCTGGACTCGACTCGATTTTCTTCCCTCCCCTCCCTTCCCACCCCACCTATTTTTACCACTCCTCGCCCCTCCTACGGCACATGCCCTTTTTTCTGCCAGTTTCTCCCCCTCCTTCCCATTCCCCCTCCCCAACTGTTCCTCCCCAGTATTTTCCTCTCCCTCTTTCGCCCCCCTCCTTTCCCCCCTACTTTTCCCCACACCCCCCTCTACCCACACCCTCCCCACCCCACCCACACCTACATTCCCCCTCCCCACCATTCCGCCCTTCGTTTCCCCCGACTCCACCGCACCAACACACGACCACCATCGCCAGCAGCACCACCAGCATCTCGACCACCACCGCCACCACCACAGCCATCATCGTCCCCATCCTCCCCAATCCCAGAGTTCCATCCCATCCCCGTCTGTTCCACCGTCTTCCCATCCGCATTTCCCGCTAGCTCTTGCATACCTTTCCTGTCACTGCCACGTCACTAGTTCGCACTTACAGATTCACGACGATCCCTGCAGGAGGCGTGTCTCCTAGCCGATTTCCTTAGTGACGTGGTCGTTAGTGTGGCTGTTTTTCGCCTCACCCCTCTGTCATATCGTTTAGTATAGCGAGGTACAGTCCTCAGCAACCGAGTCGTAACTTATAACTAAGTTATGTAGCGAAAACAACACCAACAATATTTTCTTGGAGAAGCCGCCCTTCGCCTATTGATTTCATTTCCTGTTTAGCCTGATGCGTTAATGCTGACTCATCAGCCTCGCCGTTACAATCCGCCTGCGTAGCCTTCGCTGGAAGCTTGCCTTCAAGTTTACGCATATTCACTTAAAAACAGATCGGCGGTATCCGGTTCTCTTCGGTGTGAGGTTCTCGCCGATCTCGCCATGGTAGAATTGGCCGACGCGAGCTGCTCTGACTGGGACGACTGCTCCAATGGCTGCGCTGATGTCCCGCCAATTGCCTCGTCAGCAAATTCCTCGTCAGCAGATGCCTCGTCAGCGAATGCCTCTTCAGCACAGGATCCTTTAGCAGAGGGTTCGCCTGCAGCAGATAGCCCTTCAGACTGCAAAGCCATAGTCAGCGGAGCTTTAGGGGGGTCCGAGCTACGATCGGCGGGGGGAGCGGCGGGGGAAGCGGAGGGGGTGGCTACTCCGGTGGTCCCGGAGTGTCCGGTGTGCTTGGAGCTGTACGATCAGGAGCAGCGCGTTCCGCGGCTGGTCGCCTGCGGCCACACGATTTGCCAAGCCTGTGCCCGGAATCTACCTTTGACTCGGGTAGGTACTAGGGGCGACCCAGGGTAGACACAAGGGATTACCCAGGTTAGGCAATTGAGTCGACTCACCTGTGCCAGGAATATCCCTTTGAACCGGGTAGGTACTCTTATAAGAAACAATGTTACCCTGGTAACTTCCTCCTCCATACCATTCCAATCATCCTTTCAATACTTTGTCCCTCACTTTGTTAGCCCCACACCCGCCGCGCCCCTTCGTCTCTTGGCAGGATTTTTTCGGAAAGAAATGCATCAGCTGCCCGGAATGCCGATGCCTAGTCGTGTGGAAGGGCCTCGCGAGCATGCCCAAAAACTTTGCCCTTCTTCGCCTCATCACTGACGCAAATGACTGCCCGAGAGAAAAGCGGGCAGCCACTCACGCCATGGAAGTCTGCCGAACGAGATTAGACTCCAGACAGATGGTTTTCCAAATCGCGGATCTGCTATCCGTGGTTTCCGTACTTTTCGGGATTCTCTTAGGGATGTGCGTCTTCGTGCCGCTCTGCTGCGTGTACCTAGCCCTGGGTTGGAGCATTGCTGCTCTGACGTTCCTCGCGTTCTCGATCCTTTCAACAGCAGCCGTTGGATTCGCTGCTGCTGGGCTCTTCTCGCTGCTCTCGTACAAAACCCTCAAGTTCCTGAACGTTTGCTCATGACAGGGGGATTACTGTGGTGGTGTATTGGTCTGTGTGACCGACCACACAACACGGCAACCTCATACTAGTTATTTATATAAGCTAGTGTGCGGAGTTGAGAGCATCATCTCCGCGGAATGGCGTTGTCTCGAGCTGGGTATTGTATCCTTTTCTACATACAAGAAAAGCAATGGCTGGAAAGTGTTGTCTGTGTATCCTCCTTGCCCTTTTAGACAGGACTGATTATATCAGTGGAATGATGATTTAACAACGTCCCTCATGCAGTGGCGACCTATCCAGGTTCAACCCTAAGTTTTAGAAAAATTGCAGGTGTTGTGATTCCCATTGACTGCATTCCCTCCGATGAAGGTCCACAGGGAGAGTTGCCTTACATGTTTATTTACAGTGCCTTGGCGGTACAGTCTAACTCATGCTTTTAATCGGGACATTCATGCGTATAGTGGGTGTCTTGGCGACCTCACGCGACCATGGGGTTGGCGCATCAGGTATCCGCACGAAGTTTAGGGTACCTATGATTGCTGATGTGGTAGAGTTCTCAACGTACGGTTTAATGCGTTATACATCGTTTTAAAACACATTCAACAAAGTTTTACGAACGCCCAAGTGTGATCTGCCCCCAAACTCGCTTCTGTATCATGCTTTCCGCACAAACCCGCAACCCCCCACCACCCTCTGTTCCCCCACAGCTTCCGCATCCATTCGCCGTGCGCACAGCTCTCTCCCGCCATCCTTTCTGACCCACAACGTGCTCCATCCTCCCATCTCACTCTCCAGGGATTCCGGAACTCTCGTTATTGTCATGCTTCTCCTTGTGTTGACCTGGATCAGTCATCGATTGGCTGGAGCGACCTTGGAATTGCCGGCATCTTCTTTCATGCCATTGTTGGTCAGTGGTCTGAAGAAAACTAGTAAGAGAAGTAAAGCGGTTCAGTGAGATAAATGAGTGATTTACAGTATCTCTATGTACACAGACAACGGTTGAGCAGGGTTCGTCCTAGGCAGTAACCCATCTCGTATCTAAATCGTTGATTTCCTTACTGCTTAGTAGCCTAAGGCGGTTTCCTTGTGGAGTAAGTTTAGGCGTATTGCTGGTCAGGAACATGCGTGCTTTCCATGGCGTAAGTTTTTCCCTAGCTGTCGGCGTCTCTGCAGCAGATGTTCCATTTTGATCGCCGCGGGATGCGTTTGTGAAATCTAATCCGACCCGGTTTAGAGCAAGCTTGTTTGCTTAGTTCTCAGTCGCCTTAACGGAGTCACTGACAGGATATCGAGGCCTTGTTCGCGTGCCATGTGAAAACATGGCGTATTATTAGCGTTAGCGCCTGGCGGTGCGTGGCACCGCAGTTCACTCCTCGTCACAGTTTAAGACCGCTCTCCGATTTAGATATGCTACTAACGCCATTTCTGTGACTTTAAGACCGCAATGTGGTCATTTTCTGGAACCTTCCAGATCCTTTTGGATCAAAGACGATAGCGCATTTGAGGTAAGAATCTCGTGGTTTCGTAGTTAGCTATTTATCTCGTAATGCCATGGCTCGATAAAGACCAGGGTTTATATGCAGGCGAATCTGATGATTTCTTGACGGTTTGCGGGAATTCTGGCTGAAAATCTTGGCTTACCGGACGGATTCATCTTATGGGAGCGTGGGCTTATATCCGATACGATGGAATGACCGATGGAGTGCTTACATCCTGATACGATTACGGGGGTTAGTTTAACGCCATTTTGATCGGCTCAGATCTTTACGGAAGAAAAAAAAGATGGGTTTAAACACTGTACTTAGTACCCTGACGTGGAATCCTTCTTGTTAGGTGTTCATGAGTTGTGACTGAGTCCAATATATTTGTCGCGATGATATATAAGTCCAAGATAAGTCCGTGATGAATCTGCGAGCCTAGGCCATGCTTTCTTACGCACGCGTTTCGCGGGTTACATCCCCTGCATTGTACAACCGTCGCGATCGTTTACAACTCCTGCATTTATGAGTTTCGCGAGCTCTTATCCGTAGACACTCACCCACATTTTCAATCTTCCCCTCCCTCATAATCCCCCCCCACCCACCTTCTTCCCCACGCTCCCTCCCCCCATTCCCGCCTCCCCTTCCTCCACCCCTTCACCCCTCCCTCACCCCCCCTTATTCTCTTCTCCTCTTTCTTTTCCTCTCCTCGCTTCTCCATATTCCAATCCAGACCTCCGCGGACTCGTGTTGTTTCCTGCTCTTCCAGCCGAGCATTCGCCGTGAAACTCCCTTCACGATTCGTTTCCCAAGGCAACCGGCAACCCCCATCAACGGCTGTTAGGACCCAATAGTAGGATCCCTCCTGCGGATGGCCCCTCCCCCTCCGTCTCGGTTCAGCGGAAAGTCCGCGGAGAGGCCTAGCGAAGGCGGGCTCACCGAGCGACGGAGTTACGAATACGACGGTAGCGGTAACGGCGGTCGCATGGCAGCGTTTAAAGCCATTGACGAACGGTCTGAAGGAAGCTTCAAGGAAGGAAGCGCCAAGGACCGGTTTAGGAGCGCGAAGAGCGTTAAGCGGGGAGCTTCGCCAGCTAGACCCCGGCAGGTGGATGGGATAATGCATGAGTATCAGATGCAGAACGCTGCTGCGCGCCGAGCCGAGGCTTCTAACCACAGCAAGAAGGGAATCGGCGGCACCGTGCTGTTCCTGGTGAGTATTAATCTCGTTCTGAGGCTGCTCGAAATGCACTTGGAGGAGGCAGGTGGATGGGATCATGCATGAGTACCAGATGCAGAACGCTGCTGCGCGCCGCGCAAGGCTCGCCAAACGCGCTGGTTATCAGGTCGAGGAACTCATTCTTAAGCGGAGACGTGCGAGATGAGCTGCGCTCATTTGAGTTACAAGACTTTTGAGGCGCCTTTAAAGTCGCTGGTTATCAAATTGAGGAATTCCTTTTTAAGCGGAGACGTGCAAGATGAGCTGCGGTCATTTTAGTTACAAGATCAAGACCACGTGTATCATTCCAGCTCATATTCCGGAATGACTCAGTTTCCCGTTTTCGTCCTTCCCGTCTCTCTCCCTCTCTCCCATGCTTTTTCCCATCATCTCCACCTTCACCTCCCCCCGTCTCCCCTCTCCCTCCCACACTCCCCTCCTTCCCCTCCACGCTCCCCCCACCTCTCCCGTTACTTTCTTGGCAGATGTTGCTCGTCTGCACGGCAGCAGTAGGCTGGGGAGGCTATCAGTACAAGCAAGCCCTCTCTCTCGAGGTAAGACGGTGATGTGAGCCTTACCCCATCACACCCCTACAACAAGTTAAGGAGGTAATACATTCCAAGGTAATGAGGCGTTGTTTGAAAAGCTCTCTACGAATGCTGGTGGTATGAGCTTCCCCAATCCCAGCTTCGGCTCTCAGAACTACAGTGCAAAAGCACTCACGTTCTCTCCCCCACCTCTCCACCCCCCTCTTTCTCCCCCCCCTTCTCCCCCTTTCCCTCCTTTCCCCCCTTTCTCCTCCCAGCTCCGGCTCTCAGAACTGCAGCGCAAACACACGCGCCTTGCTTCCAAACTGTCAGATGACGTTCCTGCTAGCGTCAGCAGGATCTTCCCCAGCAGCAGCAGCAGCAGCAGCAGCAGCAGATGCGAAGTAGAAGGAGAAGATGGGGCAGTGGAAGGTACCTGCTCCCCCTTCCCCACAGAAAGGTCTGAAGGAGACAGCGCCGGGTGGAGAGAGGGGAGCGGGAGCGAGGAGGAGAGCGATCGCGAGCGTAGAAGCTCAAAGGAGAAGGCAAAGGAGAAATCCAAGGAGAAGAAGGAGGAGGAGGAAGAGGAGGAAGAGGTGAAGGAGGACCAGGAGCTGTTCTGGCGCAGGGTGGCGCTCCTAGCATCCATTCTCTGCCTGGTCCTCCCCATCTTCATCATCCGCAACATCGATGAAGTGGCACAGCTCTTTGGAAGGCGCCCCAAGGCGACAGACGGCCATACGACCGCCGCTGCCTCTTCCTCCTCCTCGTCATCCACCTCTGCTGCGGCGGCGGCTGCTGCTGCTGCTGGTGCGGCTCCTTCAGCGGCGCCTGGGGCGGACGAGGAGGTGTCGATGAGCAAGCGGCTGGCGTATAAGGTCGATGTGCTCTTCTCCATGCACTCCTGGGTCAAGGGCGCTGCCCTCCTCGCCGCCACGCTGCTTCTGTGAGTACCCAACCACCCGACCACACCTTCACCCCCCAGCCTCCTCTCAGCTCAGCTGCGCTTGCACCTGGAGCAGACGAGGAGGTGTCGATGAGCAAGAGGCTGGCGTATAAGGCCGATGTGCTCTTCTCCATGCACTCCTGGGTCAAGGGCGCTGCTCTCCTCGCCGCCACTCTCCTCCTGTACGTACACCTTAACCCCCCAGCCTCCGCTCCTCTACCACCCCGCCTCCTCTCTACCCTTGTGCCGCTGGAGCGGACGAGGAGGTGTCGATGAGCAAGCGGCTGGCGTATAAGGTTGATGTGCTCTTCTCCATGCACTCGTTCGTGCTGGGTCAAAGGCGCTGCTCTCGCCGCCACTCTCCTGTAAGTACCCACCCCCCGACCACACCTTAACCCCCCAGCCTCCTCTAAGCTGCCCTTGTGCGGCTGGAGCAGAGGAGGAGGTGTCGATGAGCAAGAGGCTGGCGTATAAGGCCGATGTGCTCTTCTCCATGCACTCGTTTGTGCTGGGTGAAAGGCGCTGCTCTCGCTGCCACTCTCCTCCTGTAAGTACCCACCCCCCGACCACACCTTAACCCCCCAGCCTCCTGTACATTTACATACATTTATGTATACATATCTCTCCTTGGGATTTGGGTGAAGAGCTACCCTGAATCTGTCGTATGCCTCTCTCTTCTCCCCCCCTCCCGTCCTACTCCAATCCCACACCAGTATCGCCCTGGGAGGCCTTGCTCTGTACGCCGTTGGATCGAAAGACCGAATGGATCTGGGCGACGCCACGTGGCGGGCGTGGTCCTACGTGGCAGACGCAGGCAACCACGCGGATAGCGAGGGCGTGGGGCCGCGGATCGTGGGCGTGAGCATCAGCATTGGCGGGATGCTGATATTCGCGCTGATGGTGGGGTTGGTGTCGGAGGGCATCTCGGAGAAGGTGGACTCGCTGAAGAAAGGCAAGAGCGACGTGATTGAGAAGAACCACACGCTCATCCTCGGCTGGAGTGACAAGCTGGTGGGTCGTAGGGGATCGGGGAATGGGGAAGGGGTGGTTGGGGCCCACTCTGTCTGTCGTGGGGAATGATTGCGGGAGAAAGAGGAGGGGGAAGGGGGATGTGGGAGGAACGGCAAGAGCGACGTGATTGAGAAGAACCACATGCTCATTTTCGGCTGGAGCGACAAGCTGCTGGATTATGGGTGGGCGGGAGGGGAGAATGGGCATGGGCATGGGCATGGGCATGGGCATGGGTGTGGGCATGAGCATGGGTGTGGGCATGGGCATGGGCATGGGCATGGGCATGGGCATGGGCATGGGCATGGGCATGGGCATGGGCGTGAGCATGAGCATCAGGCATCGCTGCTGAAGCAACTGGCAGTGGCGAACGAGAGCATGGGAGGGGGCGTGGTGTGGTGGAGATGATGATACCGCCTCTGGGCCTATGTTCTTGTGTTAATCGTGTCTTCTCCCTCCCTTTGCCCCTGCTGCCCATCACCCATCAGGCATCGCTGCTGAAGCAACTGGCAGTGGCGAACGAGAGCATGGGAGGGGGCGTGGTGTGGTGGAGATGATGATACCGCCTCTGGGCCTATGTTCTTGTGTTAATCGTGTCTTCTCCCTCCCTTTGCCCCTGCTGCCCATCACCCATCAGGCATCGCTGCTGAAGCAACTGGCAGTGGCGAACGAGAGCATGGGAGGGGGCGTGGTGTGGTGGAGATGATGATACCGCCTCTGGGCCTATGTTCTTGTGTTAATCGTGTCTTCTCCCTCCCTTTGCCCCTGCTGCCCATCACCCATCAGGCATCGCTGCTGAAGCAACTGGCAGTGGCGAACGAGAGCATGGGAGGGGGCGTGGTGTGGTGGAGATGATGATACCGCCTCTGGGCCTATGTTCTTGTGTTAATCGTGTCTTCTCCCTCCCTTTGCCCCTGCTGCCCATCACCCATCAGGCATCGCTGCTGAAGCAACTGGCAGTGGCGAACGAGAGCATGGGAGGGGGCGTGGTGTGGTGGAGATGATGATACCGCCTCTGGGCCTATGTTCTTGTGTTAATCGTGTCTTCTCCCTCCCTTTGCCCCTGCTGCCCATCACCCATCAGGCATCGCTGCTGAAGCAACTGGCAGTGGCGAACGAGAGCATGGGAGGCGGCGTGGTGATGGTAATGATTCCGTGTCTTTCTCCCTGTTGTTATGTCAATCCTGCCCCTCCCCTCTCTCCGTTCCTTTGATGCCCATGTCCAACCCACATCAGGCCTCGCTGCTGAAGCAGCTGGCAGTGGCGAATGAGAGCATGGGAGGGGGTGTGGTGGTGGTGATGAGTGAGCGGGAGAAGGAGGAGATGGAGAGCGAGATTCAGAAGATGGAGTTCAACTTCCGAGGGACCACTGTAATCTGCCGGTATGTCCAATGCTGGGTCGGGTGGTGAAGCATGTGTGTATTGGCCACACACATTGCTATGGTGCATACATTCATGGTGATGAGCGAGAGGGAGGAGGAGATGGAGAGCGAGATTCAGAAGATGGAGCTCAACTTCCGAGGCACCACTGTCATCTGCCGGTATGTCGAATGCTGGGTGGTGAGGCATGGTACTGTGTCTATTGGCCACAACACTATGGTACGTGATGATGAGTGAGAGGGTGTGGAGGGGCGGGAGAGCGAGATTTGGATGATTGGAATTTCACTACTGAGGTGTCACTGTTATCTGCCGATATGTTCGCTGGTCTTAAAGAAGGTGTCTGTCTCCATGGCTCGGGCACTCATTGTGCACTCTCCTCTGGCAGAGGCAGAGAACGCGGATGCTGCAGACGCCAGGGCACTCAGGGTGGTGCTGAGCCTCTGTTCTGCTCTCCCTCTCCCTCTCCCTCTCCTTTCTCTCTCCCCACCCCCCCTTCCCTCCGCTCCTCTCCGCTCGCCCCTGGTGTTGGCTGACCTGAAAAAAGTCTCTGTCTCGACTGCTCGGGCGCTGATAGTTCTGGCAGAGGCGGAAAACGCGGATGCTGCAGACGCCAGGGCGCTCAGGGTGGTGCTGAGCCTGATGGGCGTGCGGGAGGGGCTGCGTCTGACTCAATTCTTCCTTCTAATCGTTGGCTTTCGTCTCCCTTTCTCCTTTCCCTCGCCCCATGCTCTCCCCCCTCCCCATGCTGCTGCAGCTCCGGCTCGCCCCTGGTGTTGGCTGATCTCAAGAAGGTCTCTGTGTCGACTGCTCGAGCTCTAATCGTGCTGGCGGAAGCAGAGAACGCCGATGCTGCAGACGCCAGGGCGCTCAGGGTGGTGCTGAGTCTCTGTTCCCCTCTCCCCCTTGCTGACCCCCTTCCCCCTGCTACAGTTCCGGCTCGCCCCTGGTACTGGCTGATCTCAAGAAGGTCTCTGTGTCGACTGCTCGAGCTCTAATCGTGCTTGCGGAAGCAGAGAACGCGGATGCTGCAGACGCCAGGGCGCTCAGGGTGGTGCTGAGCCTGACGGGCGTGCGGGAGGGGCTTCGAGGGCACATTGTGGTGGAGCTGAGCGATATTGACAACCAGCAGCTCGTCAAGGTGAGGAGCGGTGTAGAGCAGTATAGAAGGGTGAGGAGTGGTGAGGAGTGGTGTGGAGTGGTGTGGTGGTGGTGAGGGAGGGGCTGCGGGAGCACATTGTGGTGGAGCTGAGCGATATTGACAACCAGCAGCTGGTGAAGGTGAGGAGCAGTGTAGAGCGGTGAGGAGAGGTGGTGGGAGCACATGGTGGAGACGGTGGTGGCGCACGATGTGATCGGCCGCCTCATGATTCAGTGCGCCCGCCAGCCCGGCCTGGCAGTGCTCAGTGCGCAAACCCACCCCTTCCAACCCTGTTCCCCTCCTCCTAACCGCACAGATGGTGGGGGGGCGCATGGTGGAAACGGTGGTGGCGCACGACGTGAGGTCTAAACCCTCCTCCATTCCCCCTCCCGCCTCCTCCCTCAACCCTCTCTTTTTCCACTCTCCCTCCTCCTAACCGCACAGATGGTGGGGGGACGCATGGTGGAAACGGTGGTGGCGCACGAACGATGTTATTGGCCGCCTCATGATTCAGTGCGCCCGCCAGCCCGGCCTGGCCCAGATCAGCACCCTCACCCCCCTCTCATCCTATTGCTCCTATCTGCTCCCAATCGCCCACAGATGGTGGGGGGACGGATGGTGGAAACGGTGGTGGCGCACGACGTGATCGGGCGCCTCATGATTCAGTGCGCCCGCCAGCCCGGCCTGGCCCAGATCTGGGAGACCCTCCTCGGCTTCGAGAACTGCGAGTTCTACACCAAGCACTGGCCCGAGCTCGTCGGGAAAACCTTTCGGGAGGTCCTGCTGTCCTTTCCTGATGCGGTGCCGTGCGGTTTGAGGGTTTCTGCAAGGACGTATTATGAGAAGAGTACGGAGGCGGTGGGGTTTGAGTTTGCTGGTGGGAGCAGTGTTGGGAGTGAGGATGAGGAGGAGGAAGGGGAGGAGGGGGAGGGAGGAGGGGAGGGCGAGGGGAAGAGGGTGCATAAGGAGCATACCCGGCTGTGGCTCAACCCGGACGATGACTACGTGCTCCAGGTGGGTGGTGCCTCTGTGTCAGATGTTTGTGACTTTTGAGGCGCCTCAAAAGGAGGGCGAGGTGAAGAGGGTGCATAAGGAGCATACGCGGCTGTGGCTCAACCCGGACGATGACTATGTGCTTCAGGTGAGTGTTTTTTTATTTTTCTGGTTTCAAGTCCTTTGAAATTGAGTGCCTAAAAAGGTGGAGGGCGAGGTGAAGAGGGTGCATAAGGAGCATACGCGGCTGTGGCTCAATCCAGATGATGGCTATGTGCTTCAGGTGAGTGGTCTATGTGCTTCAGGTGAGTGGTCTCTGTGCTTCAGGTGAGTGGTCTCTGTGCTTCAGGTGAGTGGTCTCTGTGCTTCAGGTGAATGTTGCCTCTTTCTCAGATGATTGCATGTGCGTCAGGTAGCTCAGGTAGGTGCTCAGGTAGGTATCCTGGTCCGCTCCCCCTGCCCCTGCCCCCCTCCCCCATCCTCGCTGCCTGAGGACTCTGCTTGTGATTGCAGAGAATGATGCCCCTGGCCCCAACACACCCAACACCTGGCCTCCTCCCCCACCTCGCGCCCCCTTCCCCCCACTCCTCACCTCCCCTGCCCCTGCCCCCCTCCCCCATCCCCCCAGCCTGAGGACTCTGTGCTTGTGATTGCAGAGGATGACGACTCCTATGCCCCCGGCCCGCTGCCCGTGGTGCAAGACGCCCCGCTGCCCGACATTGAAACCCCGCCGAAGCTGCCCGAAAAAATCCTGTTCTGCGGCTGGCGGCGCGATATCGACGACATGATCACGGTGAGAAAAGAGAGGGGAGGAGGGGGGAGAGACGAGGGGAAGCAGGAAGGGGGAAGGGAATGGGGGGAGAAGAGTGGGGAGACGAAGGGTTGGAGATGGAGGGGGCTGGCGGCACGATATCGACGACATGATCACGGTGAGAAAGAGAGGGGAGGAGGGAGAGATGGGAGGGAAGGCGGGGGAAGGGGGGACGGGGGAGGGGAGGATGATGGGTTGGGGAGATGTGGGGGGGAGTGGGGCGGGGGCGCCATATTGACAGTGAGGGGCGGGAAGGGTGTGGGCGGATGGGGGGAAAAGGAGAATGGGGCACGTTGCTGCCCCTCCCCATGCCCTCTCAACTCCCGTGCCTGTCCACAGTAGACCCTAGTCCCATCTGACCACCCCCGCCCTCGTCCGGCTGCCCGTTTCCGCCCTAGAGGTTTATTTTTAGGATCCGAGCTGTGGATCTTCTCAGATGTGCCCGTGTGGAGGAACGGGAGGCGCACCTCATTGAGGGCGGGCGGGCGGGCTGAACCCTTCTCTCTCCCTGCAACCTCGAACCCAAAACCTCGAAACACCCGAAGCCCGAAAGCCTAATCCGTACCATGCCCACGCAGGTGCTGGAGGCGTTCTTGGCGCGGGGATCCACGCAGGAGCTGTGGATCTTCTCGCGGAGGCGTTCTTGGATCAGAGCTGTGGATCTTCTCAGACGTGCCAGTAGAGGAGACGGAGGCGCGCCTCATAGAGGGCGGGCTGAACCCTTCTCTCTCCCTGCGACCTCAAACCCAAAACCTGGAAACCCGAAACCCTTATCTATACTCTGCCCATGCATACAGGTGCTAGAGGCGTTTTTAGCCCGGGGCTCAGAGCTGTGGATCTTCTCGGACGTGCCCGTGGAGGAGAGGGAGGCGCGCCTCATAGAGGGCGGGCTGAACCCCAGCGAGCTGGAGAACGTGATGCTCGTGCACCGCATGGGGAATGCCGTTATTCGGCGCCATCTGGAGTTTCTTCCCCTCGAAACCTTCGACTCGGTAAGGCTGCTTCTTGTGGGTTCTGACTGAGTCAGCCTCAGGGACCAGGCGTGCGTCGGTGCCTCATAGAGGGCGGGCTGAACCCCAGCGAGCTGGAGAACGTGACTCTCATCTCGTGCACCGCATGGGCAACGCTGTCATCCAGCGCCACCTGGAATTCCTGCCGCTAGAGACCTTTGGCTTGGTAGGTGGTACGACTGGTACTATCCGAGCTGACAAAGTGAGGCACCTACCCTATCTCCCAGCGAGCTGGAGAACGTGACTCTCATCTCGTGCACCGCATGGGCAACGCTGTCATCCGCCGGCACCTCGAGTTCCTCGTGCACCTGGTGCCCCTCGTCAACTGCAACTTGTGTTCTCCATCACCCTGCTCCTTTTGCCCCATTCCCCTACTTCTAATCCCCATTCCCCTCCGCCTTCCTCCTAGATCCTCATTGTAGCGGACGAGTGGCTGGAGGACTCAATCATCAACTTTGACTCGCGCTATTCCCTATCCTGCCCATATTGCCCCTCCCCTGCTTTCAAGTTTCAAACCTCCCTCTCCCCCCCCCCCCCCTTCAGATCCTCATTGTAGCGGACGAGTGGCTGGAGGACTCAATCATCAACTTTGACTCGCGCTAGCTCTAATCCCCCCCTCCCCTCTTTTCCTTGCTGCCTATTCCCCTCCCCCCCAGATCCTCATTCTAGGACTCGATTATCAGCTGCAACTCTCGCTATCCCTCATCATGTCCCCTCTTCTCCACGCCCACTCTCCTCTTCCCATTCCTCTGCTACTCCCCTCCTCCCTCTCCTCAGATCCTCATCCTCGCGGACGAGGGGCTGGAGGACTCGATTATCAACTGTGACTCGCGCTCCCCTCTATTCCCCATGCTCACTCATTTTCCCCCTACTCCCATACCCTCCCCCTCCCCCCCAGATCCTCATTCTAGCAGACGAGGGCCTGGAGGACTCAATCATCAACAGCGACTCGCGCTCCCCACTGTCCTGCTCTTAACCCCATCCTCTTCTCTCTATGCTCCCTCTCCTCTCTCCTACTTTTGAGGCGCCTCAATACAGCGACTCGTGCTCCCCACTGTCCTGCTCTTAACCCCATCCTCTTCTCTCTATGCTCCCTCTCCTCTCTCCTACTTTCCCCCCCCTCTCCCGTACTTCCCCCCCTCTCCCCCCCCTTCCCCCGTTTTCTCAGATCGTCATTCTAGTAGACGAGGGGCTGGAGGACTCGATTATCAACTGTGACTCGCGCTCCCCTCTATTCCCCATGCTCACTCATTTCTCCCCGACTCCTATACCCTCCCCCTCCCCCCCAGATCCTCATTCTAGAGGACGAGGGCCTGGAGGACTCAATCATCAACAGCGACTCGCTGTCTCTCACCCTGCTCTGCTCTATTCCCCCTTGCCCTACTTCCGATCCCCCTTCTACACTCGTCTCCTCTCCCCCTCAGATCCTCATCCTCGCGGACGAGGGGCTGGAGGACTCAATCATCAACTGCGACTCGCGCTCCCCTCTATTCCCCACGCTTACTCATTTCTCCCCGACTCTCCTACCCTCTTCCCCCTCAGATCCTCATTCTAGCGGACGAGGGGCTGGAGGACTCGATTATCAACTGCGACTCGCGCTCCCTCGCCACGCTGCTGCTCATCAGAGACATCCAGGTGGGTGTTATCTGGGGGAGGTTGTATGTGGAGGAGGTGCTATCTGTGAGCTAGGCAGAATGGATCGCGTGCATGCCAGCTTCTTTGAGAACCCTCGCCACGCTGCTGCTCATAAGAGACATCCAGGTGGGTCATATGTGGGGGAGGTGCTACCTGGGAGGTGTGATGTGCATGCCAGCTTCTCTGAGCTCCCTCGCCACGCCGCTGCTCATCAGAGACATCCAGGTGGGTGCTGGTGCTACCTGGGGGAGGGGGGTACTATGGGTGGAAAGGGAGGGGGGTACAGGTGGGTATCCAGCTTCTGTTAGGTCCCTCGCCACGCCGCTGCTTATCAGAGACATCCAGGTGGGTGCTATGCGGTGGGAGGTGGCGGGGTGTGATGTGAGGTGGTGCTGCAACTCGTCTATCACCATGATTTGCCTTTTTTCTCTCCCCTCCATCCTCACCCCTCCCCCCTCCCTGCTCCCCCTCCCCTTTCCTCCATGCCCTCTCCTCCATCCCACCTCCTTTCTCTCCCCCTCCGCCCTCCGCCCTCCCCCCAACCCACCAATCCAGTCCAAGCGCATGCTGGCGGGCAGCAAGGGCCACCGCCGCAGCAACTCGAGCATCACGTATCCGCGGCCCACGTCCACGTCCTCGTGGGTGGGGCAGATGCAGCAGGCCCCCTGCTCATCTCATCTCCCACACCCCACCCCACACCTCCCTTGTTCCTTTGCCTATCCCTTCCCCCCAACTCTCCCCCCCCCCCCCCAACCCGCCAGTCCAAGCGCATGCCGGCGGGCAGCAAGGGCCACCGGCGCAGCAACTCGAGCATAACCTACCCGCGCCCCACGTCCACGTCCTCGTGGGTGGGGCAGATGCAGCAGGCGTCGCAGCAGTCCATCGTCATCTCGGAGATCCTCGACTCGCGCACGCGCTCCCTCGTCTCCGTCTCCAAGATCAGTGATTACGTGCTCAGTAACGAGCTGGTGTCCATGGCTCTAGCAATGGTACGTGCTTGGGTCTTTCGTCTCGTCCTCCTCCCCGTGTCCTCCTCTCCTCGTCCTGCTCTCCGCCCCTCCACCTCCTCATGGGTGGGTGGGTGGGGCAGATGCAGCAGTCCGTCTTCATCTCCGAGATCCTCGACTTGCGCACGCGCTCCCTCGTCTCCGTCTCTAAAATTAGCGACTATGCTCTCAGTAACGAGCTGGTTTCCATGGCTCTGGCAATGGTACGTACGTGCGTCGGGGTCTTTTTGCCTTTGTCCCCTTCTCCTCGTCTTCCTCGTCCCTCCTCTCCCCGTCTTCCTCTTCCTCCTCTCCACGGGGCAGATGCAGCAGGCGTCGCAGCAGTCCATGGCCATCTCTGAGATCCTCGACTCGCGCACGCGCTCCCTCGTCTCCGTCTCCAAGATTAGTGACTACGTGCTCAGTAATGAGCTGGTGTCCATGGCTCTGGCAATGGTACGTACCTACTTACATCAGCGTTGACTGATGGCGAGGCACTCCCTGGTTACCCTCCACGTGTTCCGTCGTCATCTCGGAGATCCTCGAATCGGTGGGTGCTGGTACGGGTGCTATGGCTCTGGCACTGGCGGGTTTAGGTTTCAGGGTCTTAGCGATGGTGAGACACACCCTCGCTCCTCCAAGCGGCAGTCCATCGTCATCTCTGAGATCCTCAACCCGCACACGTGCTCCCTCGTTTCCGTCTCCAAGATTAGTGACTACGTTCTTAGTAACGAGCTCGTCTCCATGGCTCTGTCTGGCGATGGTGAGACACTCACTTGCTCCTCCACCCCTCGACTCGCGTACGCGCTCCCTCGTCTATTGTCTCCAGAATCAGTGAGTACGTGCGCTCCAATGAGCTCACGCGCCATGTCAGTCGTGTCATGTCAGTGGCTCTGGCCTTGGTAAGGCACTCCCTTGCTCCTCCACTCCTCCACTCCTCCACTTGACTCTTAAACGCGCTTCCTTGTGTCCGTCCGTCCTTCTCCAGAATCTGTGAGTATGTGCGCTCCAATGAGCTCGTGTCCATGGCTCTGGCAATGGCGGGTTAAGGGTTTCGGGTTTTTGGGGTTCAGGTTTTCCCTGCTGTTCTCTTGCTCGGCATGCTCCCTTGTGACGGTCCGTCTCCAAGATCAGCGACTACGTGTGCTTTTTTTTAAATTCTCAAAAAACAATGAGCTCGCCTTTAAGGCACTCGCGTTATGATCATCTTCTTCCCCACCCCCGTCATAATCACCCTCCAACAGGTGGCGGAGGACAGGGAGGTCAACCGCGTTTTGGAGGAGCTTTCCACTCCACCCCCGCTTTAGTCACCTTCTCCTCTCTTCCCCCCCCTCCCCTCTCCCCTCCTCCCCCCTCCCCTCTCCCCTCCTCCCCCCTCCCCTCTCCCCCCTCCCCTCTCCCCCCTCCCCTCGCCCCCCGTTACAATCACCCTTGAACAGGTGGCGGAGGACAGGGAGGTCAACCGCGTTTTGGAGGAGCTATTTTCAGAAGAGGTACGTGGAGGAGAAAAGGGGATGCTAGGTTGGGAGGGGGGAGAATGGAGGGTGGGAGAAGTTGGGGGGGTTGGGGGGAAAACATTGGGTTGAGATTGTTCTGGGAAGAGGGGAGGGTAAGCGGGGAGGACGGGGGAGGATCTGTCCATCTTCCATTTACACCCCTCTGCATCTCTCTGCACCGCACTGCACCCATCCATGCCAACCCCCCACCCCCCCCAGGGCAACGAGATGTACATCCGGCCGGCAGAGCACTACCTGACGGACGGGGAGGAGCTGTCCTTCTTCCCTCTGCACCCATTTACACCCCTTTGCACCCCTCTGCACCCATCCGTGCCACTCCCTCCACGGCAACGAGATGTACACTCGGCCTGCGCATGGAGATCATCATCGGCTACCGGCTCCCACACCAACCACCGGTGCACTCATTTCCCCCCCTCTGCACCCCTCTCCATCCATCTGCACCCATCCAGGGCAACAAGATATATATCCACCCAGCGGAGCTCTACCTGGCGGACGGGGAGGAGCTGTCCTTCTTTGAAATGGCGGTGTGGGCCCGCCAACGCATGGAGATCATCGTTGGCTACCGGCTGTTTACAGAGCTCCCTCTGCACCCCTCTGCACCCCTCTGCACCCATCTGCACCCATCCATTCCCCTCCCTCTAAACCCCTCCAGGGCAACGAGATGTATATTCGCCCAGCGGAGCTGTATCTCACAGACGGGGAGGAGCTCTCGTTTTTCGAAGTCGCAGTGCGGGCCCGCCAGCACATGGAGATCATCATTTCATCGGCTACTGGCTCTTCACTGAGCTCCCTCTGCACCCCTCTGCACCCATCCATTCCCCTTCTCTCTTCCTTTCAGGGCAACGAGATGTATATCCGCCCAGCCGAGCTCTACCTGACAGATGGCGAGGAGCTCTCGTTTTTCGAAGTGGCGGTGAGAGCACGCCAGCGCATGGAGATCATTATTGGATACCGGCTCTTCACAGAGGACGAAGCAGTTCTGAACCCGCCTGACAAGGCTGAAAGGCGCACCTGGTCGATTCAAGACACCTTCATCGTTCTCTCGTTCAACGAGTAGTCGCGGCTTTTTGTTCTCGGCTTTCCAGGCGCCTCATAGCCGGAGCTTACCACACGAAGCTTACTTTTGAGTCGACTCAGGAGCTTTCAAAGCTCACAAACTACTAGAATCTGAGTACTGTACCGACTAGTAAAGGAGGATGGGGGGTAGTGCTTCTGAACAAGGCCGAAAGATGCGCCTGGTCCATCCAAGACATGTGAGTCATTTGGAAAATCGGCCCGACAGGTAGCAGGCATGGATTGGTACACTATACACATTCTTTTGCTTTTCAATGGAGTGCAGCAGCCAGTGTGCTTGTTTGCTAGCTATCCTGGGGAAGGGCGTGTTTCTGGGTGTAGCCTCCCCTGCGAAATATGGTTGTGTTGGGTTTAGGGTAGTGCTGAAATAAGCAACTATGGGTAGCCTCTTTACGTAGGTGACTTGCACACTGGGTTTCTCCCCTAGGCCTGGACGTCTGACTTACACCCATCTACCCAGTGGTACACAGGAGCAGTGGACAGCAAGTTGTGTGAGGTTGTCTCCATGAGGTATCTGGCATCGGGTATGGCGGTTCTGTGCGGTGCAACAAAGTTTTCTCTTGGCATTTCTCTCAATAATATTGAGTTGCACGTAGTACTACTTGAAGCAATGGATTGCTCATTGTTACTACATTATGGCAAATGTAGCCAGCAGCACTGCTGTCACTCACCCACTTCATACACCACTTTCTCCTTTCTCCCTCCTCCAGAGCTACCGCCCTCCCCTCCCCTACCACCATCAGCATCAGCATCACCATCAGCATCAAAATCTGAATATTTGGAATCCTTTCGTCCTCTGCCCTCTGCAGCACCATTACCACCACCAGCTCTCCCAACCCTACCTCTTCTATCCTCTCCCGAATTGACGTCAGCCGCTTTCCTATGCATCTGCAGCATCAATCTGCAATCCGCTAGCGCTTTCCCTCTCAGTCCCCCGCATTTGGAGCTTTCTCCATCATCCATGGATATTGCGAAGTAAAGGTAAATCGTACACAGGACCGCTAGGATCGCCATTGTCGTTAGCAGATACTGATGCCGAGCCACCAAGGCCCGGAAAGACAGGTCCACTTGTGCCGAGCCTGGCGGCTGCGGCTTCAGACGATATTGGCTCTGGAGCCGGCTTCCGGACCTAATTGCTAGGTTCCCTTGCTGCGGAGATCGTAAGTGACGCTCGGAAGGGAGGAGGTTCGGAGAGGTTGGGAGGAGGGAGGGAGAGAGGGAGGATCCCGGAGGGATGGACGTAGGAAGCTTCGGATCTAAGGGGGGGCTGGTGATTCCGTGTCGCCTGTAGACGTCCTTAGAAGCTGTGGAGTATGATGACGTGGCAGTTGGGGAGGTTGGATCGTTGGGATCCGCGTTGCTGGCCGATCGGCTCGCCATGGTTGCGTTGCGAATAACGGACCTCCGTCGACAGCGTCGAAAACCTAAATCAAATCTGGATCCCTAAGTCCAGGAAAATCAGTTTCACGCACGTGAAGAGTAAGCTTGTGCTAGGATGGCCATGTGACAAAGAGCGTGGAATATTGATGGCGGATGAAATGAGTGGGCTGGTGGAGGGACGAAAAGGACTCTCAGGGCGTGTTCTAGCTTTGTTAGCTGGCACCCAACTCGTGTTGACTCCTGCTTTGGCACGATTGGTCTTGCTGCACCCTCGAGATTACCTTAGGCCCATCCCAAACCCTCAGTACCAGTGTCAAAATTTGAAAACCGCTTCAGCTTCGTAACGGTTATCTTTAGGTACTGTAGAGTGGCTGTACTGTATCTCTAAAGTTGGGCACTTCAGGAATCAGGGAAATGGCTTTTGTGGACATCGAGAATGCCGAGAGCAGATGACATGGGTATTCTCGCAGCGAATCATCTACTATAGCGTATAATATGCTGGACCACCACTGCCAAGCTTCTTTTTCAGTCGAGATTATCTGATACTGTACTGTAAGGATACCCAGAACGATACACAAGAACCAAAACGACACACAAAGCCAATGGTAGTTAGCAGTCACTGTTCGTGAGACTGTCGTTGAGTGCCGTTTTCTCGTCGCCCACAGTCGTATGATAGGACCAACCGCGCGACGCGCCGCATTGGATTCCCAATGCCTAGTGCATGCTATTTCCGATAATAATGGTATTTACGTATTATATTACTGCTAATAGCACTCTGCCTTTTAGTCCAACCCTTCAAACGGCCTTTTCGGTAGTGCATTTGCTATCTGTGCCACGTCGCGTTTACTCCTTGAGCGAAAGCTCTCCATTTGAAGCTTTGCCGAGCCACACCATGCCGAGCTTAGCCAGGCATGGCATCCCCACCGCAAGATTCCCCCAGAGCAGGGTTACCGAGCATCTCCTTCCCTCTCTCCTCACCACGCCTACACTCACCACTCCGAGCCTCATCATTCCGAGCCTCGCCGCTAGGAGCCTCTCCGAGTCTAAAATCCCCGAGCCATGGACCTCTCAGCAGGAGACACAGCGGACGGCTAGGATTGCCCGAGATGGAAACCGAGACGCTGGAAGGGAAGCTGCAGATTTTGGAGATACAGCGACAGCTGAGCGCCGTCCGATGTCAGGCGTTCATGCAAGCCCTAGATTCCGCGATCCTGCTAGATGCTGCTGCTGACGTGGCCGTTGCTGATGCTGACGTGGCTTTTGCTGATGCTGACGCAAGTGTTGTTGCTGCTGATGTGGCTGATGAATCTGCTGCCGTGGGATTCGCGGGAGCAACAGAGCACTCATGCCAGGCGACCGTGCCGGCCGGAGAGAAGGCTTATTCGGGAGAGAAGGCTTATGCAGGGGAGGAGCCTGCATTTGCGGCAGACAAGGCTAAAGCGCCTGACAGGTTTTATACGGCAGAGAAGGTCCATTCAGGAGAGAAGGCCGTGTCGCGGCCGTTGGCGCGTGGAATATCGCTGGATGCGAGTTATAGATGGCGAACAGGGTTGGGTGTGGGGTCGGACATGGGGGATACGGCGATGGGGATGGGAATGGGAATGGGGATGGTGACGGGGATGGGGTTTGATATGAACGTTTTAAGGGACGATTTTGAGAAGAGTGGTGAGAGTGAATGGGTTCCAAAAGGAGCTCCTAGAGGGGATGTTCTTATAACGAGTATAACTAGAGATGCTGGTTTAGCAGCGGATGCCGCTTCTACTGAAGCCAATGTTTCAGCAGCACAGGAGGGCAGGCGAAGAGGGAGGAAAGGAGGGGCAGGAAGAGGAGGAGAAGGAGGAGCAGCGGGAGTAGGGGGAGCAGGAGGAACTGACTTCTCAACCTCCACGTCATCCTCAACGTTCCTGACGTCACCACCCTCTCTGTCCTCGTCATCGGCCACGTCAGCCGCAGCAGAGTTTTCCGCCATGTCAGCAACGCTGCCAATGTCGACAGCAGCAGGAAGTGCCAGAGGCAAGCCTACTCGCCGATTAAGAGTCAGAAAAGCGTCTCTAGACTTTAAGGGGGACTGGAGCGTAGGAGGTATGGGAGGGTGGGGGGAGGAAGATGGGGGTAAAGGAGGGCGAGGAGGAGGAGCGAGAGAGGGAGGTGGGGGTGGGGGTTTGGCTGTAAGAGGGTTTGGTATGGGTGGGTTTTCAGGGAGGTCTATGCTCCCCCCTCGCTCCCCCGGGCCAAGAGGGGAATCCCCGTTATTGAGTGCTGCTGCCCCAGTCTCGAGTGTCCCGTTATTGAGTGCTCCACCACAGAGAGGCGGTGCCGTGCCTGCTGCTGCCATACCTGTTGGAAGGGGGCAGGAAGGGGGCGTGGAAGCCAGAACGCTGGACCAATCGGAGGCGAGAGAATCTAGCCAATCAGAGGGGAGAGGAGGCAGCCAATCAGAGGGCAGGGGGAGCAGCCAATCAGAGGGGAGAGGGAGCAGCCAATCAGAAACGAGCGGGGCAAGTGAAAGGGAGGGAGCAGACTGGGGCGGCTTATCTGCTGGACGGGAGGGAAACCGTTTTCCACAGAGCATTCAGCAGCCACTGTATCAGCGCTCGCCACGTCAGCACTCGCCTTATCTGCATTCGCCACGTCAGCATCAAGAGAAAGCACCGTCAGGCCTATCAGGATTGGGTGTGGAGGAACTGGAAAGCCAGAGCAAGCAGTTGTGGCAAGAGGAAAGGGTTTTCTCTTCGGGGACATCAGACCACCCATCAGGCCACCTATCAGACCGCCTATCGGACCGCCTGTCAGATCGCCTATCGGACCGCCTATCAGACCGCCTATCAAACCGCTTATCAAACCTTCCACTATCAGGCTCGTCTAGATCGGAATATGAGGAGCAGGAGAAGCAGGTGGGGTGGGAGGAACGGGGGGAGCGGGAGCAACGGGAGCAGCGGGAGGAGCGGGAGGCGCAGGAGGAGAGGGATGAGCGGGAGAAGCAGGTGGAAAGGTTTCGACACATGCTGATTGCTCTGGGTATAGGGAGGCGAGATGGGGGTTTGGGAGGGCATGCGCAGGGGCAAGGGCAGGGGCAGGGGCAGGGGCAGGGGCAGGGGCAGGGGCAGGGGCAGGGGCAGGGGCAGAGGCAGGAGAACAAGCAGGGACAGGAGGAGGTGCCCAGGGGTGAGAAAGAGCAGGAGAAAGGGAAGGTACAACAACCTATCGCCTGGGGTGATGCCATTTGGAATCGTGGTGCTGCTGCTGCTGGTGCCACTTCAGCTGCTGCTGCTTCATCTGCGGCTGCTTCTAGGGGCATACCACCCACCGCTCCACCACAGCAGCAGCAGCAGCAGCAGCAGCAGCAGCAGCAGTGGCGGCAGTGGCGGGATTTCGAGTCCCCGCCTTCATCAGACTATGACACCTCCTCCTCCGATGCCTCCCTCTTCCTGCAGTCCCGCTCCCACGCACGCTCCCTCGCCCGCGCCCAAGCCCGCACTAAAGCGTGCGCACCTGCTGCCCGTGCACCTTCCACCCATGCACCTGCTACCCATGCACCTGCCACGAGTGTCACTGCTGCTGTTTCTATGGATGCTGTTATGAGCACACCTGCCAGTGCTGCTGCTGGTGCTTCATCCGTGCTACAACCACGCTTTGAGACGTCTCAGAAGAACTCGTCTGCAGCAGCTGCAGTTTCAGCCGTGCTACAGCCGGGTTCCCAACCGTCCCATGTCTCGTCTACCGCAGCTGCTGCTACAGCTGCCATGCTACAACCGCTTTACCAGCCGTTTGCAACCTCGTCTGTAGAGGCTGCTGATACAGCTGCCATGCTACAGCCGTGTTACCAAACGCTTCAAACCTCGACTGCAGCTGCAGCTGCTGCTACATCCGAGCTACAACCTCCATCTCGCCTTGCCAGTGGCAGGCAGTTATCTCTGGACTTGGGCAAGAGTAGCAAGTGGGGTGCGGAGGAGTGGAAAGGGGTGCTGGAGGTTTGTGCAGGTGTGGGGGTTGAGAAAGGGTTGGCTGGAAATGGAAATGCGAGCATTTCTCTGGGTGTGGGTTTGCTTGGGCTTGAGAGTTTGGGGCTGGTTGGGAGTGGGGAGAAGGGCGGAGGGGAGGGTGGAGAGAAGGGTGGAGGAGAGGGTGGGGAGAAGGGTGGAGGAGAGAGTGAAGGGAGGGGCAGAGGTAAGGGTGAAGAGAAGGGGGCGCCTACTGCTGCTGGTGGTGCTGCTGCTGCTGTTTCTGGTCCCTTAGCTGCTGTTGCTGGTGCCTCTGCTGCTGCTGCTGGTGCTGCCCCTTCTGCTGCTGCTGCTGCTTCTGTTGCTTCTGCTACCTCTGCCTCTGCTGGTGGTGCTGCCCCTTCTGCTGCTGCTGCTTCTGTTGCTTCTGCTACCTCTGCCTCTGCTGCTGGTGGAAGCGCAGGGGCGTATTTCGAATCCCCGCCATCATCAGACTACGAATCTTCCTCCTCCGATGCCTCTCTCTTCCTCCGCACTCGCTCCCACACCCGCTCCCACACTCTCTCCCACACTCTCTCCCACACTCGCTCCCACAATTGCCCCCCCTCACTTGCCCAGACCCACCCTCCCTTTCCCTCCCATACTCGTACTCAGACCCACACCCACGACCACACTCACTCTCACTCCCACTCCCACACTCACTCTCACTCTCACTCCCACTCCCACACTCACTCTCACTCTCACTCCCACACTCACTCTCACTCCTACAGTCACAATCCCTTCCACACTCACACTCAAGGTCGTTCTATTCCCGCTTGCCTTTCACTACCTGCTTTAGCCCCGACCGTTCCTTTGAACCAGCATCTCCCAAATCCCGACGGATCAACTGGCATGGACCAGCAACCTCCCAGTCAACCCAGTCAAGCCAGTCAATCCGGGTCAACTGGAGTAAGACGTCCTATAGGGGGCCGTCATGCCCGTTCATTTTCAGGCACACTCACTTACAGCCCTGTAGCACACCTGTCCCCACCATCGCACCCCCCTGCCGCCGCTGCTCCTCCTGCTCCTCCTGTCGCCCCTGCTTCTGCTGCCCCCATTCCATCCGGATCCACAGGGGTTAGAAGACCTATAGGGGGCCGGCATGCACGCTCGTTCTCAGGCACTGTTGCTTACAGCCCTCGCTACAGCCCTCGCTACAGCCCTACAGCGCACCTGTCCCCACCAACTCCTCCCCCTGTTGCTGCTGCTGGTATAGACCAACAGGCCCCCAGCCTCCCCGGGTTATCTGCTACAGACTATTATCCCCCCTGTCAAGCCAGTCAAGCAATTCAAGCGAGTCAAGCGAATCAAGGCGGGTCAACAGGAGCAAAACGACCAGTAAGGAGCCGGCATGCTCGCTCTCTCTCCGGCTCTGTTGCTTACAGCCCTCACTCCAGCAGCTTCCCAGGGCTTTCTGGCTCTGGTTGTTCTCCCCATTTCTCCCGCTCACGCACGCATGGGTTTCCGAGCAAACCTCCGATGTCACCCAGCGCGTCGCGGGGTGCTTTGGGTGGTAACCCTTGGGTAGTGGCTAGGGCAGAGGCAGCAGCAGCAGCAACAGGAGGAGGAGGAGGAGCAGCAGGAGAATCAGCAGGGGTAGGAAGAGCAGGAGTGGGAACAGGAGCAGCAGCAGCAGGAGCAGCAGGAGTAGGAGTGCGAGCAGGGGCAGGAGCAGGAGGAGCGGCAGGATTAGCAAAGCCGATGCTACCTCCAGGCACAGCCTTAACCACAGGAGCAGCAGCAGCACGTGCAGGGGAAGGAGTGGGAGAGAACGGAGGAGTGGGAAGCGGTGCAAAAGGAGCAGGAATGGGTTCTGTGAGACGCAGGCAGCCTGGGCGTTTGATGGCTGCTAGGCGGCTATCTTTGGATTTTAACAACGAAGGGGTGTTTGGGAGAATCGGTTGGGAGGAGTGGACAGGGAAACCCCTCGTTGTGGGTAGGCCCGGGGAGGGAAGGGAAGGTGGTGTGACTAAAGGGAAAGAGGGAGGGGATGGTGGTGTGATTAGAGCGAGGGAGAGAGATGATGGAACTCAGAGGAGGGATGATGCACAAGCAGAAGAAGTCCTAGATGAAGGGGGAGATAGGGATGGGGACTTACACAGAGGAGGAAGGGAGGAGGGAGGAGGGGGTGGGGAGGGGACTCTAAGGGAGGAGAGAGCAAAGCGTTGCGACAAAAATCCGGAGGTGCTGCAACGAAGCTTCCACAGAGCTTCGGAGGTTCCTGCGGCTGCGGTGTCTCAGCAATCCTGCCATGCAGTTTTGTTGCCTTGTGATTCAGTGGAAAATGCTGCTCCAAACGCCCCTGGCAGCAACACAGGCGATAGAGAGAGTTTGACTGGTTGCGTAACCGACCGCAAGAGCGGCAGAAGAAGTGGCAGCAGCAGTGGCAGTAGCAGCAAGCCCATTCGTCCCCCTGTGAGGCATGCGTCTTTGAATCTGAGGCATGCTGTGAATGAGTGGAGGGAGGGGCAGGAGGGGACGGATGGGAGGGAGGGGAAGGAGGGGAGGGAAGGAAGCAGGGAAGGGAGGAAAGGGAGAGACGGGAGAGAAGGGAGAGAAGGGAGGGAAGGGAGGGAAGGGAGAGAAGGGAGTGGCAGCAAGAGTGGGAGCAAGACTGAAAGCAAGACTGGCAGCAGCAGTGGCAGTAGCAGGTTCCTACGCCCCCCTGTAAGGCATGCCTCGTTGAATCTGAGAGATGCTGTGGATGAGTGGAGGGATGGGCAGGAGGGGAAGAAAAGGAGTGGCAGCAAGGCAGAGAGCAAGAGTGAGAGCAAGGCTGGCAGTGGCAGTAGCAGGCCCATGCGTCCCCCTATAAGGCATGCCTCGTTGAATCTGAGAGATGCTGTGGATGAGTGGAGGGATGGGCAGGAGGGGAAGAAAAGGAGTGGCAGCAAGGCGGAGAGCAAGAGTGAGAGCAAGGCGGGCAGTGGCAGTAGCAGGCCCATGCGTCCCCCTGTAAGGCATGCCTCGTTGAATCTGAGAGATGCTGTGGATGAGTGGAGGGATGGTCATGAGGGGAAGGATAAGAAGGAGGTTGGGGACAGGGAGCACGATAGGATGACAGCATGTAAAATCCGTCCTTCCAAGGCTTTGCGCCCCCCTGTTAGGCATGCCTCTCTTGACATGCGGCGAGCGGTGGACGAGTGGAGGGAGGTGCAGGAGGGGAGGGAGGGGAGGGAGGGGAGGGAGGGGAGGGAGGGGAGGGAGGGGAGGGAGGGGAGGGATGGGAGGGAGAGGAGGGATGGGAGGGAAGAGGACGGGCAGGACAAAATAACTGAGCTGGTTACGAGGGAGTTACAGTGCCAAGGCAGTCGATTGTTTGAGTCGACTCTCGAGTCGACTAAAAGGTTAGAGGGTCAAGGTAGCCGGTCTCTTGGGTCGACCCTTGATTCGATTCAAAGGTTAGAGGGTCAAGGAAGCCGATCTTTTCCTGAGTTTCTGAAGCCACAACAGCCATGGGACTTGGATCTTTCAGATTCCGAGCTTTCAGGGCCGGAACTACCTGGATTAACCCCTGGCGGTGGTGCTCCTGCTGTGGCTGCTGCCTCTGCTGCCTCTGCTGCAAGGACTAGCGTTGACTCGTTTGACTTTCTTGGAAAGCCGGTTGTGAAATCGAGAATCGCGCTGATCAAGGAGAAGAAGAAGAAGGAGGTGGGGCTTGAGATTGTTCATAAAGAGAAGAAAAAAGAAAAGGGGCGGATTGGAAGGCAGAGGTCGCTGGATGCAAGGGGCAGGGGGGCACTGGGAAGAGGAGGGTCGTGGGACTTGGGAGGATGGGATGAGGGAGCACAGAGAGCGGGCACATTGCAAATCGATCCGATTTTGGGCCTTGAGTTGAATCCTGCACGTGATTGGGGTGTTACTTTAGAAGATTTTGAAGAATCGGAGAATCCTGGTTTTAATCTTGGGCGTTTTGAGAAGCCTAAGAACATAGGTTTTGGTCTTGAGCGTTGTCAAGAGGCGTCTCTTATTGGGGATGGTGGTGTTTTGTGGCAGGGCGAGAACGAGGGTCAAGTAGACAGGGGAGCTGGCAGGGGAGGTGAGGGAGGGGAGTGGGGGGAGAGGAGACAGCGAGACAGGCAGCTAGAGAGGCTAGGTCGACGGGGGTCGTTGGATCTCGGCAGGAGCATGGGGGGAGGGGAGGGTGGGAGAGGAGAGGGTAGGGGAGGCGGGCGGTGGGAGGGGGAGAAGAGAGTGGAAGAGTGGCTGTTCAAGTCACAAAGGGATGGTCAGATGTACCGCCAGTCTTCGGCTGCTTCTACTAGCGGTGCTGCCGCTGCCGCTGCTGCTGCTGCTGCTGCTGCTGCTGCTGGCGCTGGTGCTTCTACTGCTTCTGCAGCTGCTGCGGCTGCCGCTGCTGCTGCTGCCGCTGCTGTTGCGGTAGCTAGTAGGAGCAGCAGCGGTGTCAGATGGACAGAACTTCCTTCGAGTCCCTTGAAGAGCCCACAAACCACTCGTCCCCTTAGTAGCCGATTCGTTAAAAGCCCTTCGTTATCAAGCGCTTCCGTCTCAATCCCGTCGTATAACTTTCTCACCAGTAGCAATCCTGTCAACATTCCCAGAAGCCCGTCCTCTAGAGCCCGGTTCCCTGAAAGTTTCTCGCTTAAGAGCCCGCACTTAAGGAGCCCTAGCGCGTTGAGTCCTGGTCTTATCAGCCCGGATTTAAGGAGCCCTGGTCTTAAGGGTTCGCACGTAAAAAGCCCTGGTGTTTGTAGCCCGCACTTATGGAGTCCTACTAGTGCTATACGCCCTCTTTCCAAGAGCCCTTCCACAAGAAGCCCTTGTGCGAAGACCCCCTTGCGTAGAGTAATGCTGCTAAATGCACCTGAGGTCTCTGCACCTCCTGCTGCTGCTGCCGCTGTTGCTGCTGCTGCTGGTACTGATACCGGTCCTGCTGTTGGTGCTGCTGCTGCTGCTGCTACCAGTGATGCTGCTGGTGGTGGTGGTGCTGGTGCTGCTGCTGAGCTCCTTGAGAAAGCACCTGAGGGGCTGAGCACTCGAAAGAGGCTGGGCGGAAGGCAGGCGTCTCTTGATCCCAGGAGTCTAGAGATAGGGAAGCAGAGGGTGGTGACGATGAGAGAAGGGGAGAGGAGGAGTGGGGAAGTGAGAGGGAGAGGTGGGAAGGAGGAGAGGGGAAGAAGAGGGGAGGAGAGAGGGAGGGGAGGAGAGGTGAGGGTAAGGGGAGTAGAGGAGAGGGGAGGAGGAAGCGAAGTGGTTGATTTGCTGGTGCAGGAGGGGCGGCGGCAGCAGCAGCAGCTGAAGAGGGAGCACCAGGACCAGGAGCAGAGGCAACAGCAGCAGCAGCAGCAGCAGCAGCAGCAGGTGACGGGGAAGCAGCAGAAGAACCAGGAGCAGAGGCAGCAGCAATTAGGCCGGCACAGATCCCTTGATCCATGGGCCTTCAACCGTGCCGTAGATGATAGCAGGGAAGCTACAAACGAGGATAGAAGGGAGGTTCTAAACGAGGGTAGCAGGGAGGTTACAAACGATGCTAGCCAGGAGGTTACAATCAAGGATATCAGGGATGCTACAAATGAGGATATCAGGGTTGGTGTTGAAGCTGCAAGGGAGGAGGAAACATGGAGGAAACACATTTTCCAACTCCCTTCAGATAGTGATTTCTCAGGGCCGGGAACTCCTCAGGCCACTGCTGCTGCTACAGCTGCTGCTGGTGCAGCCGCTGCTGGCCAGACTTGCGTTGATTCGTTTGACTTTCTGGGAAAGCCGGAGGTGAAGTCGAGAATTGCACAGCTCAAAGAGAAGAAGAAGAAGGAAGTTGGTTTCGAGATTCCTCAAAAAGTGGAGAAGAAGGGGCGGGGCCAAATGCAGAGCAACACTCCGCTACACAAGCAAAGGTCGTTAGACTCTCGAACCAAGGGAGGATTGCCTTTTCTTGCCACTGCTGCTGCTGCTGCTGGAAAGACCTTCATTGACTCGTTTGACTTTCTTGAAAAGCCTGTTGTACGGCAGTCCGTGATGGTCAAGGAGGGGAGATTTAGGCTGCCAATAGAGCGGCACGCTTCCCTGGATTCAAGGAGAGGGCTCCTGGATTTCAGGGAGGATTTGCTGGAATCAGGGGAGGAATTTCTGGATTTCAAGGATGATTCGCTAGATGTGAGGAAAGACTCTCCCTTGGATTTCAGCAGAGAATTTCGGGATGCGAGAAACGTTTTGCTGGATACAAGGGAAGAATCTTTAAGCCTCAGGGGGGGATTCCTGGATTTCATGGGGGAGGGAAAGGTTGGTAGGTTGAGGAGGAGGGGCTCGCTTGAAAGTGCGGGGGGCTCTAAGCAACATGCTTACTTAAACGTTGGTGGTGGGGAGGAGTGGGAGGATAGGAGCTTAGGACGAACAGGAGGGGGGCGGAGTCTGGGAAATCGACGGCAGCGGTCGCCGCTTGGGAGGAGGAGGTCGATGGGGGGAGGAGGGCTGGACGCTGCTTTGATTGTGCACGACCGGGATGGTGAGGGTCGAAAGGAGGATAAAGAGTGGGGAAAAGAGGGAGGGGGGCGGAGTTTGGGAAATCGACGGCAGCGATCGCCGCTCGGAAGAAGGAGGTCGATAGGGGGAGGAGTGGGGGGTCTGGGATTGGGCGTTGGTACTTTGGGGTTGGGAGTAGAAGGTGGGGGCAGTGATGCTGGAAAGGAGGGGGAGGAGTGGGGAAGTGTGAGAGAGAAGCGACATTTGGGTAATCTAAGGCGCTCACCGTTAGGAAGGATGAGGTCGATGGGGGGAGGAGGGATGGACGCTGCTTCTTTGGGGCTTGGGTTGAACAATGAGGACAATGCGGCTGGACTGGGTGCAAAGGAGTGGGGAGGAGTGGGAGAGAGGAGGCATTTGGGCACTCGAGGGCGCTCACCACTGGGGAGGAGGAGGTCGATGGGGGGAATGGGTGAGGTGGTTAGCTATTTATTGGCTGTGAGTGGGTGGGCTGATGAGGGTTCAAGAACGGGCGAGAGGCGGGGTGGTTCGAGACGAAAGTCTCCTCTGGGGTGGCGGAGGTCGGTGGGGGGGATGGGTGAAGTGGCTGATTTTTTATCGTCTGTGAGTGGGTGGGCTGATGAGGGTTTAGCAGGAACGGGACAGAGGCAGGGTGGTTCGAGGCAGGGTGGTTCGAGGCATAGGTCTTTGCTGGAAAGGAGGAGGTCGATGGGGGGAATGGGGGCGGGAGGGACAGTCGACCCTTATTTATCCACTTCAAATGAAGAGGTTGAAGGTTCAGGAACGGGCGAGAGGCAGGGGGTTCTGAAAGGAAAGTCTTTGCTCGAAAGGAGGAGGTCGATGGGGGGATTGGGGGAGGTGGCTGGTTGTGTGTCAGCTCTGAGTGTGGGCGTTGAGGGTACAGGAGGGGGCAAGAGACAGGGTGGTTCGAGAGGAAGACCTTTCTTAGAAAGGAGGAGGTCAATAGGGGGAATGGGGGGAATGGAGCGGGAAGTTGACCATTTTTTGGCTCTAGATGAAGCAGGTGAAGAGGGTACAAAGACGGGCAAGAGGCAGGGGGGTTCGAGACGAAAGTCTCCTCTGGGGAGGAGGAGGTCGATGGGGGGAATGGAAGGCGTGGTTGAGTCCCATTTATCGGTTCTGAAACAAGCTGGTGAGGAGGGTACAGGAAAGAGTGAAAGGCAGAGGGGTTCGAGACGAAAGTCTCCACTAGGAAGGAGAAGGCCGATGGGGGGGAGAGCGAGTGCTGCTGCTTTCGTTTCGGCTGCTGAAGCAAAAGCAGAAATGGCAACTGATTCAGAAGCAGAATCTGGTGCAGGAGGAGCAGGTAACATGCACGAGGAGAGAGGGACGGAAGCCAAGACGACTTTTGAGGCGCCTCAAAAGTCGTCAGGTGGAGCAGGAGCAGGAGCAGGAGCAGGAGCAGGAGGAGGAGGAGGAGTAGCAGGTAAAATGCACGAGGAGAGAGGGACGGAAGGCCGGATGTTCCTTTGCCCCCCATTCAACCCCCCCTCGCTCGGGTTCTCTACTCTAAACCTTTCCCCAGAGCTCGAATATGATAAGCCGGTTTTGGAATCGACTCAAAAACAATTCCACTCCCCCTCGCTCGGGTTTTCTACTCTAAACCTTCCCCCAGAGCTCGAATCGGTAGGTTCCCCGGTCTGGGGCAATCCCAGCTGGGATTCCAGGAGAGATCCTTATAGCGAGGCTACTGGAGGGGCTTATAACAAGGCTACTGGAGGGGCTCATAACGAGGCTACTGGTGGGGCTTATAATGAGGCTACTGAAGGGGGATTGCGTCGGGCGAAGTTGTTTGTAGACTCGTCCCGTCGACATTCAGGGGAATGCTTTGAGTCTGATTCTGTGGATTCCCCAGTATGGGGCACCGTGGGGGGGCAGGGTTGTTCTGTCAGGGGGGATGGTGGGGGGAAAGCACATGGGAAGGCTTATAGGCCGGAAGAGCAGCGACAGGTGTGCAGAGAGGTATGCGGTGAGGAGTGCAGATCGAGGTGCGAAGAGGGGTGCAGAGTGGTGCGCAGCGGTGGTGCTAGTGGTGTTAGGGCTGTTTTGGATTCACATGACTCAGAATTGGCCGACTCGCCTGCGTGGGGAACAGTGAGTGGCGGAAGGAGAGTGGGAAGACGAGAAGGAGGAAGCGGAGGCGGGCTTACTTTGAATGTTCTTAAAAGTAATGCAGATGTTGCGGCGGGTGGTAGGGGGCCGAGATGGCCTGTTTTGGATTCGCACGAATCAGAATCGGCCGATTCGCCTGTGTGGGGGACGGTGAGTGGCGGCAGGCGAGGGGGAAGGCGAGAAGGAGGAGGAAGCGGAGGCGGGCTTACAGCAGATGCTTCTACTTTCGAGGCGTCTCGAACGAGCGGTGACGGGAAAGGGGGAATGAGAGGAGGAGGTGGAGGCGGGGTTACAGCAGACGCTGATGCAGTGTGCAACAGGGAACTGCGATGGCCTGATTTGGATACACAGGAGTCAGAATCGTCCGATTCACCTGTGTGGGGGACGGTGAGTGGAGGAAGGAGAGGGGGGAGGACGGGTGAGAAAGGTGATGGTTTTACAGCAGATGCAGTGGGGGATGGTAGGAGAGGGGGAGGGAGAGGTGAGAGGGAGGGTGATTTTACAAGAGATGTAGTGGGGAATGGCAGGAGAGGGGGAGGGATGGGTGAGAGAGGAGATGGTTTTACAGCAGATGTCGTGGATGACGGCAGGAGAGGGGGAGGAGTAACGTCTGATGCTGCAACTGCTGATGCAGCACCTGATGAAACACCTGATTATACATCACCTCATTATCCAACACTTGATGCAACATCTGATGCAACACCGGATGCTGCACCTGATGCAACAGTTAATGCAACACCTGATGCAACACCTTATGCTCCTGACGCTGCACCTGTTGCTGCACCTGAAGCTTTAGCCTCTGCTACCGTGATAGTTGTGAGTTGCTTTGATAGGGTTGGTGGGGAGACAGCGGGGGAGGATGGAAGGTGCGTGCGAGTCAGGAGCGTGGAGGAAGGAGATGAGGGAGGAGGGAAGGGGGGGCGGGGATGGAGGAGAGGAGGGAGGAAGGGTGGAACGAGGGGAGAAAGAAGAGATGAGCACTGAAGCGACAGCTAAGGAGGTGAAGGAGATGGTTGAAATGATGGAGATAGCAGCTGCAGCAGCCAGAGAAATGCGGTCATATCCTACTGCTTGTGCACTCCGGACTGTTCAAATATCCACTGCTACAACTGCTGCTACCGCTGCTACAGCCAGTGCTGCTACAACCGCTGCTACAGCCGCTGCTACAGCCGCTGCCACAACCGCTGCCACGGGCCATCGTTCTTCTCCTCGCCATCCTCCTCTTCCTCGTCCTCATGACTCTCATCAGCACCCTGTTTCCTCTGAGCGAGGTGGGGAAAATGTCTCCTCCCGTCCTCCATCCCCTCCACCGCGCTCCTTCCCCCCATTGTCCCCCACCTCCTATCCCCTCTCCCACCCGCATCCACCTCCCTCTCACCCCTCTCCTCCCTCTCACCCCCCTCCTCCCTCCAACCCCTCTCCTCCCTCCCATCACCGTTCCCTCTTCCGCACACTATCCACCTCTCTCCTCCCCTTCAGGCCCCCCTCCCTCATCCGAACCCTCTCCTCCTCCTTCTCCTCCTCCCCCTCCTCCTCCTCCAAACCTGTCATTCAAAGCTCTCGCTCTGCGTCTTTCCCCGGTCCTGCAATTCCCCCTCTCTCCTCGCCCTCTCCTGTGCCTTCTGCCTCTCCTCCGTTGCCTTCCGAGGCCCCTGCAGTTCCGTCTTCCTCTGGAAGAGGGAACAGCAACAGCAGAGTCAGCAACAGCAGCAGCACCACCGGCAACACCAGTGGCACCAGCACCAGCAACAGCAGCAGCAAAAGCATTGGCAGCAGCACCAGTAGCAGCAGCAGCAGCACCAGCAACAGCGGGAGCAGAAGCATTGGCAGCAGCAGCAGCGGCAGAAGGAGAGCTAGAACATGGAGCAACACCAACACTGCTAGCAAAACCAACACTGCAAGCAGCACCATCTCTTCTATCACCACTTCTGCTAACAAACCCGCTTCTAACAATACCTCCACCTCTTCAAACAATATCACCACCAGCAACCGACTTCGTCGAACCTTCTCCTCCTTTTCCTTCCTTACTCAACACCCATCGCCCCTTCCTCCTCTTCTTCCTGTTCCGTTCCCTTCATTCCAATCTGTCACAACACCCTCTGTTACCCCTTCAGAAGTCACAACAATCTATACTCCCAGTACTTCTGGAAATGCCATGCCCACCGGCACAACTCCTGAAGGTTACAGCGTGACTGAGGCTGTTGATGGTGCTACAGCCGCTGCAGCTACAACAGACGCTTCTTCTTTAGCAGCTTCTGCCACAGCCGCCCCAGCTGCTACAGCTGCTGCAACAGCTGGTGCTACAACTGCTTCTGCTGCTACAGCCAGCGATGCTGTTACAGCCGGCGCTGCTGTTACAGCCGGCGCTGCTGCTACAGCCGGCGCCAGTCCCTTGTATCGTAGCTTCTCCCTCTCTGCTTCCTTTGCAACCCTCCGCCGCACCACCTCCAGCTCCTCTTTATCGCTCTTCACCTCTCACCTTCCCTCTGGTGCTTCCTCCTCTTCCTCCTCCTCCTCCTCCTCCTCCTCCTCCTCCTCCTCCTCCTCCTCCTCCTCCTCCTCCTCCTCCTCCTCCTCCTCCTCCTCCTCCTCCTCCTCCTCCTCCTCCTCCTCCTCCTCCTCCTCCTCCTCCTCCTCCTCCTCCTCCTCATCACTTCTCCATTCCCGGTCTATCCGACGGAAGTCAGAGAGTTATAAGGAGCGTGCCGCCGTGTCCACACACCAACCTGCTGTCAACCCATCCTCCTTATTACCATCCTCGTTATTACCATCCACATCCCGGCGTGCGTCTATTGATATGCCCGAGCTGGGTGCATCGCTTTTAAGATTGCCGAGCCTTTCTTCTTTGCTCCGCCAATGGAAGGAAGGCAATGTCTCGTGTAGCGACAAAGAGGAAGATTTACCCTAAAATTACTGTGAGGACGAAGGTGTCTAGTCAAGCAAGTCTGTCTGTTATGGCTGAAAATTTAGTCCAGCTAGAGTTACGAGATTATGTATATTTTGTGTGTTGTCTGTATGCCATAATGGCACTAAAATTTCTAGCAAATGCAAGCGTATGCTTGTACCTTGAACAGAGACCAGGAGGAATCAGCCATCAACAAGGATAATCAATTTTCAAATGCTAATGGTTTTTTTTTTTCCGATTGATTTTGTAAGGTGTTCGAATATCTGTCAAAACCTTCGGAATTCTAAACCAGCCAACCTTCTGAAACCGTCTGATGCCGATTTCAACCGTTTCTTTCCTCCGAGGAATAAACATGAGCTACGTTATTCCTCCCCTCGGTTCCCTCCAATCCCAGTGTTTCTCCTACGTGTTCGACGATTTTTTAGGCGACTAGCCGCGAAGCTTAGGCAGGCCGCCAGGAAACGCTTCTAAGCGTGCGTACGAAGCAATATGACCGTTTGTCTTGCGTATGCCACTGGGAAGGTCCCACCTCACATTCCTCTGATCGAGTATACCGCGTGTACTCGCTATAGTGGTACGCAGCGTCACTGTAGCTTAAAATGCAGCACCTTTCCAGCGAGGATGTCCTGGTCGGGTTGTCTACAGGAGAATCGTTATCCAATTTCTAGCAACATCATCGCTGACGTCAGCTTAGGTTCACAGGCTCGGCGGAGAAATGTGACTGTTCCTGCGAGGAAGCGGCGCGTCGTACCAGTTACAGGCCAGGACCGCAGCAGCGCGGATGCGAATGTGATTCCAGCGAGATGTGACTGTCCGTGGTGCTTTCCCGCTGCTTCTTCTTCTCCTGCTACTTCTTCTGCTACTTCTTCTGCTACAGTCTCGAAGAGGACGCTTATTGTAACAACAGCGACGGGAGGCTCTGTGAGACGAAATCGGGTAACGGAAGGTGATGGAGTTTCGGGAAGGATAGATCGGAGGCATGCTGGTGCTGCAGCGGGAAATGATGGAGGGGAAACAGAGGAAGGACGCGAGCAGGCAGAGGGAGGAGTGGGAAACGGTCGAGAGGGGTATGGAGGCTCGGAGGTCAAAGCAGAGACGGAAGGGGAGAGGAGAGGGGGAGCGAGTGAGGGGGGGGGTGGGGGAGAGGGGAGCGGGGGCTTCGGAGGAACCTCGGGCTTCTCCTGCCGTGGAGCTCGCGGTTCGAATCCTCAAGTGCTACAAACGTGAGTTGTGACGGGTCGAACGTGACTGTAAGGAGGGGAAGAGGGCAGATGAGGCGAGTGAGAGGAGAGGCGGGGAGGGGGGGGTGGGGGGGTGGCCTCTGACGAGTCTTAACCTTTTCCTGCCGTGGAGCTGGCGGTTCGAATCCTCAAGTGCTACAAAACGTGAGTTGTGACGGGACCCGTATGTCTGGTTGTTCAAGGAAAAATCTGACATTGCATGCTCTAACTTGTCAGTATCCTTTCCCTGTTCCTTTTCCATCCACCTCCCTATCATGTCTTCTCTCCTCATCCCACTTCCCCTCCTGGTCATAAATTCAGGAAATTCGTTTGGAATCCATCCCACATGCAGCAAATGCTCAGTTATGTTCTTCCACCCACTCCCTCTCCACTCCACTCCTCATCCCCGCAGGAAATGTCCCTTCCCCCTAGATTTCCTGCTTCCCGTCGTTTTGAGGGGAAATTCCCCACTTATTTCCAGCCTCCTCCTGCTTGATGATCCCCAGATGCAAGAGAATTCAGTCGTGCCTCGTGAGACGTCCACTCACTCCCCTTCCTCTCCTCCTCCACTCCAACCCCACTTTCCCGCCTGCAGGGGAGATTCCCCCTGAATCCCAACATCCTGTCACTCTGAGAAGAAATCCCCCCCTGGATTCCAGCCTCCTGCTGCTGGTTGATGAATCACAGATGCGGGAGCATTCAGTCATGACTCATCCCGGCCACTCACTCCCCTTCCTCTCCTCCTCCACTCCACCCCCAGGGGAGATCCCCGCTGAATCCCAACATCCTGTCACTCTGAGAAGAAATCCCCCCCTGCATTCCAGCCTCCTGCTGGTCCCTGCTCCCCAGATGCAGGAGCATTCAGTCATGACTCATCCCAGCCTCAGTCCACTCACTCTTCCATTCCACCCCCACTTCCCCTCCTGCAGCAGGGGAGATTCCCCCCCTGGATCCCAGCCTCCTGTTACTGTGAGGGGAAATTCTAACCAGGGTTCCAGCCTCTTGCTGGCTGATCCCCAAATGCAGGAGTATTTAGTCCCTCTGACTCCTCACTCCTCCCTCCCGGGGAGATATTTTGAGGCGCCCCAAAATCCGCGCGCATTGAGGTGTATTTTGAGGCACCTCAAAATCCTTTCCAGGTTCCAGCCTCTTGCTGGCTGATCCCCAAATGCAGGAGTATTCAGTCCCTCTGACTCCTCACTCCTCCCTCCCGGGGAGATATTTTGGCGGCGCCTCAAAATCCTTCCCGGGTTCCAGCTTCTTGCTAGTTGATCCCCTTCCCGGGTTCCAGCTTCTTGCTAGTTGATCCCCTTCCCGGGTTCCAGCTTCTTGCTAGTTGATCCCCTTCCCGGGTTCCAGCTTCTTGCTAGTTGATCCCCAAATGCAGGAATATCCAATCACTCTGACTCCTCACTCCTCCAGGGAGATTCCCCCAACGGTTCCAGGCTCATGCCGGTTCATCCCCACATGCAGCGAGTATTCAGTCATGGTCTTCCACTCAACCCCCTCCCCTCCTTTCTCCAGTTCAACCCCACTCTCATCCATGCAGAGGAGCTTTCCCCCGTGCCGGTTCATCCCCACGATCCCGGCGTCGTGCCGGTTATCCCCACCTGCAGCGAGTATTCAGTCATGGCACTGCGCAAGTACGGTCTTACTCATCGCCCCCTTCCAATCTGTTCTTCCCCTCGCCCCCCCCTTCCAATTCGGCCCCACTGTCACCCCTGCAGGGGAGATTTCCCCCTGGATCCCAGCCTCGTAACGTTTCGCCCCTCCCCACCTGCAGCGAGTATTCAGTCATGGCACTGTGTAAATATTTATCTCATCCCCTCCCTCCCTCCCTCTCTCTCTTCCTCTCTCATTCCTTCAGGGGAGATTTCCCCCTGGATCCCAGCCTCGTGTCGGTTCGTCCCCACATGCAGCGAGTATTCAGTCATGGCACTGCGCAAATACGGTCTTCTGAGAGGCGGGATTCTGACTGCATGGAGGTTGTTACGATGTAACCCTTTTGGTGAGGAATCTGTGTGTGTGTGTGTGTGTGTGTGTGTGTGTGTGTGTGTGTGTGTGTGTGTGTGTGTGTGTGCGTGCGTGCGTGCGTGCGTGCGTGCGTGCGTGCGTGCGTGCGTGCGTGCGTGCGTGTGTGTGTGTGTGTGTGTGTTTTGGTGGTTATTGTGGTTTGCTGTCGAACAACACGTTTCACTGTAGGTGTCTGTTACGCTACAATTTTTTACTCTCTCTATTTTTTTGCTACATGTTGGATCAAATTCTGTTTGCAGGTCCATCAGGCTATGATCCTCCGCATTGGTTTGGGGAGCCTCCCCCGCCTTCTGTATAAATTAGCCTATTCAAGCCATGCCCCACAGCTCTACACTACAATGAACTACCGTATGTGCTCTTGGTAACGTCTTGTCCCTGTTTGCATGTTCCGTGTTTAGCAAGCACTGCTTATGGTGTACACATATTACTGAAGTGACTGTAATGGGTGCAATTTATTGCTGAAGCTTCTTGCAGTTTCCAGCAGCTTCAGCTGGTCAGCACCGACAATCACTGTAGCATCGTACGGTTCCCTGCAAGAAATTGAGACCGAAGTCTCAAGTTTGCCCACCATGAAGTTTGCCCACCATCAGAACTTTTCGGAAGCTGATGGTGTCCAGGTTGTTGGAAACAATTAACTCTAAGCCCCTCTGTCGTGTCGAAACACCAAGTCAGAAGCAAAGCGAAGCATACCGTCATCGCCCGGATATAATACATATATGTCTTATCTCATACACTAAAAAAAATGCTTGGTTTATCCTGTATTTGGGGAGGTTTTGGGTGTCTTATAAGTCTTATAAATGGAAACCTTTTTAAACTACTTCAAAACATTTTCACGATCTTGAAAAGAGTTTCTCATTAAGAGTGTCGATGTTGCGAAGTTGCCACTTCGGCAACCATTGTTCGGGACGCCACGTCATCCCGAATACTTGCAGAGTCAAATTTGGTATTATGTGACTTAGCACGTGGCACAATTCGCGTGTCGCAAGGGTAAAAATGTACGCGGTATTTCAATTTTCACTATAATGCATTGCAGTTTCGATTATAAGACACACATGTCTTATCTCGTACACACAAATAGGTGTCGTATAAAAAGGCTAGCCTGTTTATAAGAGACACCCGTATAATAGACAACCCCTGTCTACTATTCAACACTGTAATATATCCAAGCGATGACGGTATCGAAGCACTGGCGAGTCAACCAGTTGCTGGAGGTTACGCGAAAGTCAAAGGTCAGCGACCTTTGACCTGACAAGTACAGCACGACAGCAAGGAGACACGACTGACTCATTACAGAGCAGTTGCCCGAGTCGTCACGTCACTGTATCGAACCGCAACAGCAACAGTAAAACAGTTGGAACCGTATCTCGTCGTATTCCTTGTACTCTTATATAATATTGTATCTCTCTGCTTTAATTAATCAACTTTGCCCTCACATACTAGCGCAAGGTGGTTCACAACTCTTCATTAAACGCTTACACTACTACATCAGTTGTACCCAGAGTTCACCCCTGCAAAGATCCTAAGGGCCATTTCTCAGCCCAACATGGTATGAGAGCTATCAGGGGGGATTCAACTATCAAGACACCTACAACATCAGAAGACATGGCTACTCCGAAGGAAATGAGTTCCTCTATTGAATCTCCCGGCACTACTCCTACTCCACCTCCAGCCTCTGGCCTACAGACAGAGGAGAGTACGGCAACAAGACCCAGGGCAACATCCATCGAGACTCCTGCGAATCAACCTGCAGGCTTCGACCAGAGCATGATGGAGAAGTTTTTCTCCTTCATGTCCTTCTACGAGCAACACCAGAAATCGGCACCTGCGTAGTCACACAACAGCAACAACAACAACGACGTGACTCCAATGAGCCTTGATGACTCATCCTACGCACGTGGAAATCAACAGCAGCAACCTACCTTTGCTCCGTACGAGCCCCAGCGCGGCTCCGTCGGTTTTATGCCACAACCGCGCCTGCACCTGGACAAGAGAATGTCAGATTATATTTAGCTGATGCATGTATTGTAGGCTGTAGTGGGGTAGCCCATATGGGGTACAACCCAATTAGGGTTGGTACTTGTACTTGTTTCATTTCATAGTGCACTCATTCCTCGCCTCTATCTCAACATGGTATCGAGCAGGTTCCCTAGTGGGAACTGTTCCTAGGGCCCACCCACTATTTCGTCCTGCCCGGAGCGCGCTCTGCCCTAGCCCGAGTCGCGCTGGGCCTTTTTTTTCCTTTGGCGGCCCGATCGCGTCGAGCCGCCCGCTCTTTTTTTTTTGGCGCACCACTTCCGCGGCCTCGTCGCGCCGCCCCTAGACGGCCGCGCCGCGTCACGCGCCGCCCCCCTCTGACCCTCGCGACCCCGCCGTCCCCTCTGACGGCCCCGCGATCGCCTGCGACGGCCCCGCCGTCCCCTCTGCCGGCCCCGCCGCTGCACCTGACGGCCCCGCCGCTGCACCTGCCGGCCCCGCCGCTGCTTTAGGCGGCTCCGCCGCTGCACCTGACGGCCCCGCCGTCCCCTCTGCCGGCCCCGCCGCTGCACCTGACGGCCCCGTCGCTGCGCGTGCCGGCCCCGCCGCTGCTTCAGGCGGCCCCGCCCCTACACCTGACGGCCCCGCCGTCCCCTTCGACGGCCCCGCCGCTGCGCCTGCCGGCCCCGCTGCTGCACCTGCCGGCCCCGCCGCTGCGCCTGCCGGCCCCGCCGCTGCACCTGACGGCCCCGCCGTCCTCTTCGACGGCCCCGCCGCTGCGCCTGCCGGCCCCGCTGCTGCACCTGCCGGCCCCGCCGCTGCGCCTGCCGGCCCCGCCGCTGCACCTGACGGCCCCGCCGCTGCACCTGCCGGCCCCGCCACTGCTTCAGGCGGCCCCGCCGCTGCACCTGACGGCCCCGCCGTCCCCTTCGACGGCCCCGCCGCGGCACCTGACGGCCCCGCCGTCCCCTCTGACGGCCCCGCCACTGCACCTACCGGCCCCGCCGCTACCCCTGACGGCCCCGCTACTGCATCTGCGGCCCTGCCGTCTCACCTGCCGGCCCCGCTGCTTCCCCCTGACGGCCCCGCCACTGCATCTCCCGGCCCCGCAGCTGCATCTCCCGGCCCCGCCGCCCCAGCAACTGCGCCGCCCCAGCAGCCGAGCCGCCCCAGCAGCCGAGCCGCCCCAGCAGCCGAGCCGCCCCAGCAGCCGAGCCGCCCCAGCAGCCGAGCCGCCCCAGCAGCCGAGCCGCCCCAGCAGCCGAGCCGCCCCAGCAGCCGAGCAGCCCGTGCCGCCCGAGCCGCCGAGCCGCCCGAGCCGCCCAGCAGCCGAGCCGCCGAGCCGCCCGTGCCGCCCGAGCCGCCTGCACTGCCCTGTCTGGTGAGCACTGAGCTTTAGTCTGCGCACTGCCCTCCCCCTACTGCTGTCATGGCTACCCCCAGTGTCCTCACCTTTGACACTGAGGGCAGAGCCATAGACTTTGACGTGTGGGTAGACGACCTGCTGCTTTTCCTACAGTGCGACAGAGCTGACGGCCTCTCTCTCTTTGATCTCACTTCTGGTGCCTCTCCCGCCCCTGCTGCTACTGAGAATGCCACTGTTCGCTCACAGTGGGCCACACGCGATGCTGCTGCACGTCTTGCTGTGCGTCGCCACCTCCCTCCCTCTGAGCGTGCACACTTTGGGTCGTACAAGAGTGCTCAGACCTTGTACGACGCCGTTATTGCACGCTACTCCACCCCTGCCACTACTGCACTGAGCCGCCTCATGCTACCGTACCTCTTTCCCGACCTTGCTTCTTTTGCCACAGTCGCCGACCTCATTACCCACCTGCGCACTAGTGACGCTCGCTTCCGCGCTGCGCTTCCTGCTGAGTTCTGCGCCAAGAACCCCCCCCCCAAGTACTTCACTCTCTACTATATTGTCACCCGCCTCCCTGACTCCCTTCGCGGAGTCAGGGACGACTTACTCTCAGTCTGCCCCACCACTCTCACTGTTGACCTCCTCGAGAAGTCCCTCCTAGCAGCCGAGAAGAGCATTCTCGCTGTAGGGGCCTCTCGTGGTGACCCGCGCACCCCCATCTTTGAGGGGTGTTCCCCCTCCCCCCTCCTGCCCTCTGTCGCCTCTGCTGCTACGGCCGACCTAGTTGGTTTTGAGTCGGTCGGTGCGGCGTCTGCCCCCAGTGGGAGACGTCGCTCTGGCAAGGGCAAGGGGGGCAGGGGCGGTGGTGGAGGCGGCGGGGGCGGTGGAGGCGGCGGTGGAGGCAGCGGAGGAGGTGAGGGTGGTAGCGGGAGTGGTGGCGGGAGTGGAGGTGTCAGCGGCGGCAGTGGAGGCGGGGGCGGCAGCGTCGGTGGTGGTGGGAGTGGAGGCGGAGGCAGCGGTGGCGGCGGCGACGGTGGGGGTGGCGGTGGCAGCGGAGGTGGTGGCGGCGGCGGCGGAGGAGGCGGCGGCGGAGGTCGTGGCTCGTCGCGGAGGAGTGGCTCCGGTGGTGGTCAGCGCCAGCAGCAGCAGCGTGGTCAGGAGACCCTCTCCCCGCAGCAGCTCCGTGAGTGGTACGCTGCACGTCAGAGGGGTGGGGGTACTGGTCCGTGCACCTACGTCCTGCGCACTGGCGACCGTGCGGGTGAGCCGTGTGGTGGTCCACACTCCACCCAGCGCTGCTTCGGCCGCCTGACTGACGCTTGGCGCCGCCAGTTTCCTGACGCCTCTGAGATCCCTCGCTGGGACCAGCTGTCTAGGGCAGGAGTAGCAATCTTTGATCTTGACTTTGATGCTATTCTTCGTGCCATGTATTCTGTGACTATTAGTGAGGAGGGTGACTGTTACCGGTGTTTCCCGCCCGACCCGGGCATTGGTACTGCGGCTCTAGGTGCTGTTGAGGCTGCTGCTCCAGGTGCTGTTGAGGCTGCTGCTCTAGGTGCCAGTGAGTCTGTGTCCCCAGGTGCTGGTGAGTCTGCTCTCTCAGGTACTACGTCGGCTCCGCCCTCTCTCACCTTCACTCTCGACTCCGGAGCGTCTCGCTCCTTCTTTCGAGACCGCACCACACTCACGCCGCTTAGTCGGCCAGTGGCAGTCTCCCTGGCGGACCCCTCTGGGGGTCCTGTTCTGGCTCGCTACTCCACTGTCCTTCCGTGCCCTGCGGTCCCGTCTGGCTCCCTGTCCGGTCTCTACCTCCCCTCGTTCTCTACGAACTTGGTGGCGGGTGCTGACCTACAGGATGCAGGGGTTGACCAGTTCACCCCTGCGCGCCGACGGGACACCCACTGCACGGACGCGGACACGGGTCGACACTTGACCACGTTCACACGTGGGCCGGGGTCGAG